AAATACTAATACTCTGAAACTTAAACTTTATGTCCACGAATAATAACATCAATTAAATATTTACATTCCATTTATAACAAAATGTGTTAATAACACTAACAATATCAGATATATATATATTTATATTTGGAAAAACAAAATGTAAAGTTTAAAAAAAAATTAAGTTTTTTCTATAGGCAACATTAACACAAATAAATGCACAATTTAGTTGAGACTCTTTAGATTTAAAGCTTTGAACAATATATTTAATATAATATCACAAAAAGTGGCCGATTATGTACAACAATATTTATTTCATTAACTTAACATTAATTTCCACTATAAGCTAAAAGTATATTGCAAAACTACTTACAAAATTATTCAAATATAGAACCACATTGGCATCAAATAAAAAGTTTAAAAATATTTGGTGGATACTTTAATGCCATTTAATAAGAAATTTTATTTTTTAGTACAACTTTTTTTTTTATACTTTTAAAGCACTTTAGCTGCACAAAAAGAATTAGATTAATTTTGAATATTATTTTTTAAAGACAGTCAGTAAATTTACCTAACAATAAGTACAACTTTACAATATACAAGACATCGACAAAAACACTAATGACAATAAAATGCTTAGTCAAAAATTAAGTGAAATTCGAACCAAAAAAATAATATCTAACAATGACTTTAAAAAAAAGTAAAATAATCAAACACAAGTCTTGTTCTTATTTACAATACATTAGACATTTATTTTGCTAATTGTGTGTAAAAGATATTTGAACGTGTGTCATAATATTTTTTTCATACATGTATTGATGATATTGTCATTTTTAACACACTATTTAATAAGGTACATAATTTGAACATGATGTTTGAATGATATTTATCAACTATTATTATTCATAAGAGAAAAAAAACAAATAAGAATCACGCGTTTCCGGAAGCAAAAAAATATTTAAAAAATGACTTAACATACTTTCCGGCATAGCTCATTTTAAGAATATAGAGACGATTTTTTATTTTTTAAATTTTTAAAAATCTTATACATCTTTAAGCGTAAGCCTTGTTTCCCGCCAATAATGATTAGGTTATATTAATACTGTTCCGAGTTTAAACGTCTCCCCGAAAGTCCCCTTTATATATTTTTTTATGAGAAGTTCTACTGATTGAAAAGTTTAAACCGGTATTGCTATCTCAATCGAGTTATTTTTTAATTTACTTTTTTAATGGCAATGATTTTTTTGAATCCCGAATTATAATTTAAAAAATGGGCTGTACAAATTAGAGTAAGTATAAATTTTAATTTCACAACCATACAATTTTGTATAGACTTCTCAATCAATGGTAGAAATTTGAATTGGGAATAAACAATTACGAGTTTTTTTTTTGTGAAAAGGTCCGTGTAGAAATGCTGCATGTAACCCGCATAGCAATCATGTTGCATGAGGTGATCCTGGGGCCGTCATGCAGCATTTAGAGCTGTGCGTAGCCTTCAGGGTTACGAGGAGAGGTGCGGCGGCGGGCGGCTGAAGCTCGGCGTCAGAACACATCATCGCTCGGATCGTCATCCAACTCGCAAAGCAGTTTGCTGCTGTAGAAAAAATATTTTAATCTGTATTCTATTGTACAAATTGACTTGACATGACTTTTTGCTCTTGTTCAACATATATTTTAGAAAGGCAGTATCATTTCCTTATAAGGTGTAATCCTTTTAAGGATTACATAGTTCTAACAGGAAAACCAAATATATCAGTTTGTCTGTCTCTCAATCCATCCGCGGCTTAGCTTAACCCGGCCACACACGCTAACGCTAAGGTGATTGTTGGCTTAAAAAAAACCTTAAAAGATTCATGGTGTTAGTATACACAGGGTGACTGGTTAAGTCTATCTATAGGTTCTTTAGGGTGTTGTAGTAATCACTATTACTAATGGATTTCACTATAAAAGACCATATTCAGAACATAAATTTTTACTGTTTTTGTATTTAAAATACATTGTTTTATAATTTTCTTTGCCGAAATTGCAGTTAACTTAACAAACAGGGCCGAAGTAGTTGAAAAATAAAATTAATAGTGAATCATCATCATTAACAGTCTTTAATAGTCCAATGCTGGACATAGGCCTCTCCTTAGAAAAGAGGTTTTGCTCTACTATACCACGCTGGCCAGATGGGTTGGTTTGTTGTCCTGCCTAGTTTGCTCACTTAGTCAGCACTTACAACAGCCACTTAATGAATAGGGGTGGTGACACTCTATGTTCTTAATCCGCCACCACACCAATATACTAATTACGATAATTAAAGTCCAGCCATTATTTTACACTTCTCCTGCATTGCGCAAGGCAACCATCATGCCGCAAATAGGATAAAATGATAAATCATCAAGTAAGTTAGTTAAATTTTGTACCAAAAAAGTTTTCGTACTCTTCTCGAGGAGAAACAGATCCGATCAAGTGGTTTGGCAATACCCATCTACACATTTAAACTGAAGCGTCTTTGTGGCGCCTTTATACGCGTATTATTACGAGTAGGGTTTTTGGCGCCCATAGTTATCGCTGTGGTAATTGGTGTTTTTTATCAAATTTGGACTCATGTATCCATGAAATATGTCTCAGAAACAAAATAACGGGTATTCTACATCTACATTATTTAAGCATAAATCTGCATCTTCATCAGTTATACGTGATCAGATCAGCCGGTCTCTCTAAGGCTCCGTTCAACACAGTAACATCCGGCATTCGACGGCCTGGATAGCGTGTTATGTATTTATTCACGAGCTGGTGCGAAAACGCACTGGCAGTATTCGTATGAAATCAAAATATCAACATATTATTCCTTATTCGTATAGGTCAACATTTTCAACAGTATCAGAAGCAGGAATCAAAGTCCAGTTAGCAATAGTTAGTCACGAATAGAAAAGGAAACAGTCCAAAAATACAAGCCAAGTTTTTAACTAGGTACCACCGGGTTCTACACTAATTCTGAATACTCCCGATCTTTCATATGAGTTTTTTCTATAAATTATCTAGAAACAGAAGAAAAAGAAAAAAAAGATAGCTGGCAATACGGACATTTTTTTAACACATTTTCAGCTTAACTGTCATAGATCTTTTTTTAAATATTCGTCAAAGAAAAAAAAAACCATTTTATTTCTTTTTGCTATTTATCAACCATCTACTTCTTCCCAGTTTGTGAAATTGACTGCAATTTTAGTAACAGAAATTATCAAGGTATCAACGACACAAAAACCGTAAAAAAACAAAATAAGAAGACAAGTTATAAAAAAGTTGGGCAAAATTTCGGCAAATTTAATAAAATAATCTTAAAAGTCCAATATCTTGAAAATATTTAGGTTTGGAAAATGGTATTTCATAGTGTAATCTATCAGAAATAATGTCAACTACAACCGCTTAAAGTATCTAGGTCGTCTTAACCAGTAACCCTGTAGAACTAATTTAGAAGGTTGTTAGACTATCATGGGAAAGTAATAGTAATAGTGAAATATATAAAATGTAAATACCTACTTGATTTCGTACTAAATACAAAACCGATGGCAATAAATTACTTACTTACATGAAGTTGCTCCTTATAAAACCAGGTAGTAATAACCTACGGAAATAGAGGGTTTCGAGGCTAATTTTTAATCTAGTAGATTAACACATTGTAAAGTTAAGCAATCCTAGCCAGGTCAGACAGCCATTTCTTAACACAATGAGACCCCTCTGTGCCTCGCACGACCTTCAAACGTTTAAGAAAAGAGCGTACTCCTTCCTAAAAGGCCGTCAACGCGTTTGTGACTCCTGAGTTGCAGACGTTCATGGGCGGCGATGGTCACTTTCCATCAGGTGACCAGTCAGCTCGTCTGCCCCCTCTAATATAAAAAAAGCAAGTTAAGAGGTCGCGACGACCGACGCGTCGGTCTCGGTGCCAGTTTGAGCCGACAACAGTCCGAGAATATATCTCTTATCTTGTTATTTGTCTTGTCATCAGGATCATCATCATCCATATTATTATTGTTTGTTTTTAATTGAAACTATTTCTTAAAATTAAACTTTACATACCATTTAATGATTGGACTGATTTCAATAATTATTTTTTGCTTGAAATGGTTGTTTACAAGGTTCGTCAAATTTATGCTTCAATAAAACATTATAGGTATATTGAGGTGGAGTGGTTATAGTACAAAGATGGAAAATAAAAAGGATAAATAAGTTTTTACAATTTATCATTTTTTGGTCGAATTGAAGTTCTTAAAAAAGTTGATATGGTAAAATTAATACCTATAGTAGTCTTCCCCTGAGTCATCGTCAAAGTCAATCGGGACCAACGCCTTAACGTGCTCTCCGAGGCACGATGGGGGCTCAATGTGACTCGGTTGCTACTTAGCCACGAGCCCCTTTTCTTCTTAATATATTTTTATGTCAGAGTACTAAATACGTCCTAACTATACTAAAGGCGCTACTTTTTAAAATAAGTGCATTTACTGCATTGTAAACTAACCAAATAAGCCTTGCATATTTTGATCTGTGTTAATTACTCTTACTACTTATTAGTATAACTATAAACAGTTCAATTTATCTTTCAATTATGTATGAGAAAATTATACCTGTTGGTACTAAACTCTTCAATATGGCGATGTTTTCAATTAAGTTTCTTTTTGAACCTGATAACAAGAAACATGTTTGAAAAAACAATAAAACCAATGTCTCTCAACTTTGTTCAACTGTGAATCAAACTCAAAAGATAAAAGGAACTGTAAATGCCTATTCAAAGTCTGCAGTGACAGTAGTTTATTATTAGACAGTTATGTCAGTCTGCATTGTGCAAAATGCAAGATATTAACGTACTTGTAACATTTTAATCCATAAAAGCTATGAAGTTCCAACACCATACTTGTGAAAGGATCTGAAAGTCCATTATTGAGTCTATTATGTAATTACAAATACTACATTTTTTTACTACAAATAAAAGAGAGAGTAAGAAAATATAGAGAGTAAGAAAAGAGATATATTTTTGGTACTTACTCTTCTTTACTCGCGAAGGATTCGGCGTGGACTCGCCTGTTACAAGCTCTGTCGCAACAACGACAGTGCCAGTAAGCGAGCACACTCAAGCTGAACACGAACACCGTCGTGGGCAGCACCAGCGCCAGAATCAGACCCCGTATAGTTGACTCCCAAGAGTACCTCGCCACGACTAAATCGGGTCTGGTTAAACTGTAGTAGCAAGGGAATATCTTTGGTGCCCTCGGACCGGCATAGTCACTCGCAAACACAGAGCAATTAACTCGAGGCGGATATCCACAGCCTTCAGGATTTATAAGAAACTTTAAATCTGTTTCATCCCATTCAGTAGGGACAAGTGCTCCTTCCACGAATGGTTTCCTAGCTAAATTTACACGTATTTTGTGGCATTTAGTGTGAGCCGTTGTGCATCCTTCCCTACAAGATGCCCAAGTGCAATTAGTTAAAGTTTCAGCGTGCACGTGTTCAGATACGGTGCATATACCAGCTTCAGGCACAAACTCCGCGAGGATTGTCTGTATAGCTGGCTCCACGACGAAAGGTATTAAGAAGAGAAAAGCGAAGACTGCGAGGATAGCTGACGTGCCAAGACATAACGATGTATAGAACTTGAATCTTTCAAAAAAGTGGTTTAAAAGCTGCTCCCTCGTCGGTTGGTCCAAAGACTTGAAGTCCGGACTGCCTGGTTCTGCGGAAGCGCCCATAGGAAGCGTCGATCTTTCTGACGGTGCTGGGGAGAGGCTGGCCCTGGATCTGCTCATAGTAGACATTTGGAGGGAGTGTCAGCCAGTAGAAAGCATTGCAAGCAAATTTAGTCGTCTCTTAATGAACTAGCCGGACCCTCACAAAGGAGGGGAACGCCTGAAATAGATATAAAAACAATAATTAGTAATTATTTTCTATTAAAAATAACTTTATTTTACTACTTACGAAACTACTCAATAATTATTATTTCTTTACGATCGTTAATGCAATAACGTTAGTGAAAATCGAAAATAACAAACATGTATTATAGTTTTGTAATATAGTGATGTATTTGTATCTGGTTTTTCTCAGGGATAATGTTCGTTATAGATCTTTGGTATTATTGAATACAATCAGTATCAAAATTTAAACCATTGGGTTAATAGAACCCGTTAAAAAAAAACGAACCTACTCGTATTAAATGAGGGCCAAAACGGTCTGGTCGAGAACTAAATGAAGACTGGCTATGTAGTTACCAAATACGTAACAATTCAGTTCATGGCATATATTTACATAAATTATACGAACTATAGCCACCTTGACTCTGTAATAAAAGACTATTAACTGAGCTTACAATCTAGATTTGAGTCATTCGCACCCTACCACTATGTAACATTACTTATGTTGTAAGTAATTGGAAAATCTAAAATAGCATACTAATAAATCAAGTTGCTAAAATATTCAGTGGTGTTAAACAGTTGTAGACACGCAACTATATCAAGGTTGCTTGTCACTAAATTGATCGATTAAGATGGGACAACGAAGGCGTAGCCGGATTTTCAAGAAGTTTCCAAAACTGTGATGTTTTATTATTGGTGTTTCTATAACTATTTTAATCTTGGGTATAATTTCGGGACACCCAAACGGCATGATGTCTTAGCTGTAATCTTGCGTGAAGCAATTACAACATGTACAAGCAACGATTCGATATGAGTCTACAATTATTGAATACATACGAATAAACAGTATCAAATAATGTCTCACGTGACTGATCTCAGAGTGGAGAAACAGGATCGTTTGGATGCATTTGCATATCAGCTTGACCAGCACTGCATCCCTTAAATCTCATCTTAGCATCATCACCAACTTCAACGGTCTTTTGACACAACATTAACGTTACACATGAAACGACTACCAACACTGTCGGAAGTACGAGAGCTACTACAAATTGGCGGTACGTTGAATCTAGGTCAAACCTTGACACAACCGTGTCAGGGTTATTTTCAGTGTAGAAGCAGGGGAATCTTGCTTTTGCGTTATGGTCAGCTCCATCTCGACCATAATTTTTCAAGAATTCCTTGCATTCATCAGCCAAAGTATTCACACACCCTTCTAAGTTTATCATCAATTTACTGTCGTTGGCCAATGTCAGTTCTACTTCTGATGGTGCTATGACATGGTTTGGCACTGCTCTTGATTGATATAAATATTGTAAATATGTAAAATTCGTTAGGTCTGCTATATCTGTACGTGGTAGCAATGCAGCATTGATACAATCGGTTGCAACCACTCCTGAGCTCCCATTATGAATCGTGTGGCATGATAACATTAACACCTCTTCTCCTGAATCTGTCCAAACCACGTCCCCTTTGTCTTCTTGGATTAGCTTTGCACACCTTGCTAAGAATACTCTGTCTCCACTTAGCACTATAACATTCTTATTACGGGTAGGAATGTCAACGCATCTACGATCGCAGTTGTAAGGTGTTCTAATTTTTCTACAAGTGCCTCGGCTACAATAAAACAGTCCTTGAACATCTATACAGGTAATTTTTCCTCTTCTTCCAGAACACTTCAATGGTGGATCTGTTTCTCTGAAGGCACACTCAAAAGCGTCCGTAATATTGATGCACTTTCCTTCGGTACAATTGAATGTTCCTGTCAAGTTTCTACATTCGTCCCTGATGCAATGATATTTCTTTGCATTTTCTTGATCTATTCCAAAGCAAGTTTTGTTTGCCGCACTTCCACATTCAGATAACAGTAAAGAGGTACCATTCTTTCTAACATTGACGTAGATTTGGATGCAGGCTCCAGAGGTCTTGCTCAAGCACCATTCACCACAGGATCCCCAATCACAATTATCTTTGTTGACAGCTCGTGTTGTGGTGCACATAATTGGTGTAGGATCAATTCCGGACGCGTTGGCTCTATTGTACGGCATATATATGGCGACTGTTAGATACACTATGGCGACAGCACTCAAGACTGCTGTCATCTGACATATGCAGATAGTTCCACATATTTTAGTGTCCTGTGGAGGGACTATGAGATCTTCGACGGGTGTCGGTTTCGGCATATCGTCGACTTCCTACCCGTTCAACGCGACCACTGACGTAAATGTGTATGTGTTGCGCATGCGTAGTGGCGGAATCGATACGACCCTGCACTGCGGGCAACTTCGTTGGTGGTAGTGTGGTACTTTTTTAATATGTCAACGTCCGGAAAGTACCATCATATACAATATACACGCAATGTTCATTGATATGGGGAATAATAATTAATATTAAAAGTGGCGCGTTCTGCTGATTATAATTTATATTTAGAACATCCTAATTGAATGAAACGATAATTTTACTGAATAATAATTTTACACACCATACATACTATGTATCTATATGTTTTCTATTTATACATTTGATCAATAAGATATGAAATAAATACAAGCGAATAGTTTAACCAAAGTCCAGGTTAAAATAAGTATAATACTCGTAATATGTACATTATAGCGTACACTAAATCAACAGGTTATTAAAGTAACTAGTTTTGTTATTGCAGTATAAAATAAATACCATATGTACAGTATATTTAAAGGTAAAATTACTTAAAATTCGATTCTCATACACAAAAAACACTCCGTAATTAAACAATTTAACACCAGAATATAAACGGAGCCCATTGTTATAATTTTTGTAATTTTTCCCTTTTTTTAAATTGACACCCTAATTTAATGGTATTTTGTAACAAATAAAATACTTTTTAAATGAATAATGAAATAAATAAAACATAACTCACCAGCATTCACACCTCTAATGTCAAAACAACAATCACAAAATTATTTCCTTATAACAATTATCCATCTATTTTTATAAAATTCGACTCTTAATTACTTTTATTGATACTTTTATCACAGATTTTGATAATATATAATGTTTTTATTTACTTAAATGTACAATTTTCACGGTGAAGTGTGTGTTATTCTTCATTATACTGAAGTTAGCTACGTGTGGACTGCGCAATGCGGTGATTTTGTATCAGCTTGAAGTTGGCCCTTGTCTGTTTACTGCATACAAGGTTAGATAAACATACTTAGTTTATTTTTGCATAAGTATCGCTTTGTTTTTTTATATCTTATGCCTCAGCAAACAATTTCTCTTTAGTAACATTCGACTTTTATTATATTATTTAGTTAGTAATAAAATTAGTTGAACTTTTATAAATATATATGTTGATAAATAAATTCAGTTCTTAGAGCACTTATGACTTTCGGAATATCACCTTATAATTTTATTTTATACACAACACTTAGCAAACTAAGTAAAAATTTGAAATATAATAAGCAACAACAAACACATAAAAATCGAAAACATCTACTTACTGTGAATTTAAAAAGCTATAAAATCTAATCTAATCTAAGAAAAAATGTAACTAAAAGAACTTACAGTAATTTAAAGTAGGATAATAACACTTTCACTCACAAGCTTCTAAAATAGAAACAGTCAAGTTATTTTTTTTTTTAATTATAAATTCACAATCACTTTCGTGGCTAAGTCAAATACCAAAAAAATTACACAAACATTTAAATGTTAAAAAACACTTAAATTATTTCAAAATAAATTATTAAATTTTAATATGTATTATAAAGAAAAACAACTTACTGTTCAGGTTTTTCGGTACGAGCCATTTGTATTTAGAACACAGTTTAATAAATTTCCATTTTTTTTCCGAAATAGTTTCAATATTTTCCAAATTCATTTGTTTACATTCTCATCAGCGGTGGTTATTCGGGAAACTGTTTTAGCGCGTCAAGTCAAACTTTCTTTTAGGTTAAGACTCGTGTGCTCGGCGCATGCGCGCTCCTATGCCAACAATTCGCACGGTGATATTTACATGGGCTGCAACGTTTTCATCGACTTTCTTCAAAACATTGCAGCTGTCATATGCTAAGATAGAAAGATTGCTTTTTTTTTTTCACACCTTAGCCATGTTTTGTCTTTTGCTTCATTATAGGTCTGAGTATTCAGCATCATCAAATAAATTTGAAGCGGTTTGTATATCGTGTCTAAATTTGTTATCCGTGTGGTGAGGGATTAAGAGTATCACTACCCCTATTCATCCCGTGGGTGTCGTAAGAGCCGACTAAGGGAGCAAACTACGCAGGACAACAGCACTGCAAAGAGAAGGAAAACTTGATACAAACCCTATACCAACCCGTTTGGCCAGCGTGGTATAGTAGGCTAAAACATCCTTTCTAAGGAGACTTGAGGCCTATGTTCAGCAGTGGACTGTTTATGTGATGTGTCAAAATTTGAGATCAATCGGTGTAGAACAAGAACCAACTTAACATTTCATATAGGTGTACGGCATGTGATTTTGTTAAAAGTAAAAAAAGAAGTAGTAGAAGTTATATTTAATCAAACCCAGCAATTCACATATTATACACTAATACACACATTTTATAAATGTATAAAATGTGCATACGCATTTTATACACACTTTATAAACATATTTTATTCATTGACGACTGGATGGCGTAGTGGTTTGTGTAACAAGTCAAACATTTGTGTGCATGAACATTTAATCTTTGATTTGGTCTGGGTGTTATGTATAATATGTATGTATTTACAAAAAAAAAAGGTATAGGTATATGTATTTATATCAGTTGTCTAGTAGCCATAGTACAAGCTCTGCTTAGTTTGGGACTAGATGGCATTGTGTGAATGTGGTACAATATTATTTATAAAGATATACAAACCTTCAAAACTTCAAGAAAAGAGCGTACTTCTTCCTAAAAGGCCGGCAACGCGTTTGTGACTCCTCAGTTGCAGATGTTCATGGGCGGCGATGATCACTTTCCATTAGGTGAACCGTCTGCTCGTCTACCCCCTCTAATATAAAAACAATATACTAAATAATAATACTAAATAATAACAATATACTAAATAAGTAAGTAAATCTTTTAACCATTACAAATATAGAGTCAATTTCACACAAGCAACAGATCAAAGGTTAAACAAACAAACTCCTTCCAGTAATAAACGTAGGCTTAAACTGTTATTGCAATGCACCGAGAAACTAATGAGTATAATTCAAATGATAACTCGGAAAACGACAATAAAATAAACAGCTACTTTGTACTGGTAGGAATTACTACCGAATTTAACTGGATTATAACTGTTCATATGATCTGGAAATTACTAGACACTATGGTAATCTCTCTCCATTAAGTACACATTGTGCAAAATAATGAAATAAATAAAGTGTCTACATCTGTAAATATTAATTTCTTTTCATTTCATTTCACTTTGAGCGTATACGTCATAGGTTTCGGAGGGCGTAAGGGTCAACGTACAAGTTGATTTACAACGGGCACGTCGGTTATTGCATTATGTTGTTAGTTTGATTGTTCACTTGCAATTTATCTGTTAGTACTAAGGCGCTACGCACACTGCAGCATTAGATTTTACCAGTGTTTATTTAATAACATTACAGAATATTATGTTTCTTTTTAAATAAACACATTGTTAATTTAGACACACAAAGGTACTATCGTACATACACAAGAACACACACATCTTAAATAGAGGCGAACCTATAATAAATATTAGTTTAAGCAAATAATAATTCTAAGCATGCTACCAGTTTACTTTCCATAGTAAATGTACTTAGAGATTAAGGTGGCTTTGCTGTTAGCCGAAATATAGCTCCCTAGCCTAGTTCGATAACTAATGCTAATACGGAAAATTAATTATTGGCAGAAAATATTTTTAGACATTTAAAAGATAACAAATAAACACTGGCTATAATGGCAAGGTATAATTGCCTGGCTTGTTGGTCTAGTAGCTAGTGACCTCAGGGTCCTCAGGGACCTCAGGTTAAGCCAGAGGTCAAACATTGTGTGATGAGCATGATCATTTGTTCTGTGTCTGGATGTACTTTATTTGTAACTAGCTGAGACCCGCGGTGTTACCCGCGTTTGTTGTTATGACTGCGGGCAACGCCGCGGGGCGAAGCTAGTCTAAAAAAAGTAGCCTAAGTTACTCCTTATGTCATCAGCTATCTGCCAGTGAAAGTCCCGTCGAAATCGGTCCAGCCGTTCCAGAGATTACCCGGAACAAACAGACAGACAGACAGACAGACAGACAAAAATTGTAAAAAATGTTATTTTGGCATATGTACCGTGTACGTATGCATTTAGTAAAAAAGCGGTTATTTTAATATTACAAACAGACACTCCAATTGTATTTATTTGTATAGATAAGTATGTTTATCAGCAGTCTGATTACTACAGTACAGGCTCTACCTAGTTTGGGAGCACACAGACGTGTGGGACATGTGTAAAGTTATTATGAATTAAATTATTATTATTACCATAAATACCTTAAATACTGCACTATCAGTTGTGAGTTGTCAAAGCTATAATGTCATCATCATCATCAACAGCCTTTAATAGTCCACTGCTAGACATAGACCTCTCCTGTGAAAGGAGGTTTTGGCCTACTATACCACGCTGGCCAGACGGGTTGGTAAAGGGTTTGTGTCAAGTTTTCCTTCTCTCTGCAGTGCTGTTGTCTTGCCGTTTACCCGCGCTTGCTTGAATTTCTTCACGTTGACATTCAGAGCACTGGGCAGAAATCACATTGCGTCAACACCCGCGAGGGCCATCGCAATGCTTTGTTTTAATTAGACAGTCGGATTCCCCTTGTCCGTGCCAGTTCTGAGCTGACCGTTGAACGGCGGTCGTACAGAACCGCATCGGCCACGGCCACGGCCTTACGGCTAGGAAGATCCGCGGAAGGCCGGAACGCGGGTCCGGATTCCGCCCTCACGCCTAGAGAGACGCCAGAGCATCGACCAGGCCCGGCACCGGCCGCATCCGCTTCCCGTCCAAACCCGACACGCCCCGGTCCTCAGAGCCAATCCTTATTCCGAAGTTACGGATCCAATTTGCCGACTTCCCTTACCTACATTATTCTATCGACTAGAGGCTCTTCACCTTGGAGACCTGCTGCGGATATGATTTTATATCTTATTTATGATGTAACTGGTTTCCAAAGATCCGTAACTGAAGTCTACTCTATATTACTAGTGTAGTATACCATTCCTGACAAACCAGCACTCAGACACTCACTAAATAAGGCATACACGCGAGTTTGAACTGAAATGCATATCTCTTAGATTATGTTTTTAAAATGATTAGTTAACTTGCTTTTGCCCGCGGCTCCGCCTACGTGTATGCCAGTTATCGTGGTGAAAAGAAGCCTACGTTACTCGCTGATAATGTAGCTTTATATTGGTGAAAGAATTTTCATAATCGGATTTGGTGGTGGTTTAGGCGTGAATCAAACAAACTCATTTTCACATCATATAAGTATGGAAGTATGGATTGCTATTACATAATTAGACTCTTATGCAAAAGTGATTAGGCACATTTTTGAATGTACCACCTCTACTTATATTAATCTAGCACTATTGTGTCGGCAATAGATTGGTGTTAATTTATTATTTTTCTTTCGTAGCTACAATTTCTATTATTTTTCTCTCTCTTCTCCTTTTCTTTTTCTATTTTTCTTCTTCTTTTCTTTCTTTTCTATCTTTCTTATTTTCTTTCTAGTCTAGTTTCTATTCATTTTCTAGCGTAGTGGTTTAAGCGGTCGCCACGCCGCTCCCTACTACGCTGAGTGTTGTGCGTTCGAGTCCCACATGGGACGCCACTTTGTTTGATCCACAAATTGTTGTTCTGAGTTTGGGTGTTCTTTGTGTCCGTTTCATGTATGTTTGTAAAGTCCCCTGCGACACAGGATATATTCCTAATGCGGGAGTTGTTTTTCTAAGAACAAGATCTTTCCCAGATCACGTTACGATAGTTTTAAATTGCTATCACTGAGGAGGTAAAAAAAGCTGTGTTCTGCATGCCAAACCACATTAACAAAACAATATCAGTATGTAAAGCTCACTAGTTAACAAATACGAAAATTGTACAATTGTTTTAGAAAAATATATTATTTTCTATATTATTGAAAAGATGCAATGGGTAATTTTAGCTTTAATATATTACATATGTAGTTTTTTTTAAATAAATATAATATAAAGCAACAAAGCAAAGTATTAAATTATGTATATTTAGTTTAATAATCCAGTTCGCTAGTTGCTCTCGAGTGTACCTATATCACCGTTATCAAAGCCGCATTATTATCTTCTTATAAATATATTTTTTGAAGTAAACAACAAAAAAAATGCAAGTGTGGTCGACTCCTATTAATGACAGTTCAAAAACTCGGCGGATCTTTCCAGACCTACCCACGCCGCAGCAGGTGCACATAACTTTTTTACTTTTGTAATACTGCTAAAAGAATTTAAATAAGTACAAAAATAGCAGCAAGTGACATTTAACAGTTTTCAAATAGGCAGTGGCTTGAAACTTTTGCTATGTTCTCTTGGGTTATGAAAGCAAACATTTTAAGGAAACCTTTTTTTTTAATTAAAAATCCCTGTTTTTTTTTAACTATCCCACTTGTGACACAGTGCATCTGTCGGTAGTGTATTAAGATCGCATCGTATGTGACAATCCAGGTTTTTAAACGTCAAAGTTTTATTTTTCTTTTTATGAAATTCCTACCAAAAGTGCGGACTCAGTTACCTGATAAGTTGCACGATCAGTTAACTTTATTCTTAGACGAGTCCTATAAATGTTGACGATCCCTTCGATCCCGTCGTCGATTATACTGATTATTGTCAATAAGTCTGGTCCTTCTAGGTATATAAATGTGTAGCCCGTAGGACTCCTTACAGAATTCCTGTGACATTCGTATTGCAAACATAACAAGATGAAGACTCTGCTAGTGTTCGCCGCTTGTGTACTATTGGCTCAGGTGAGTAGAAATTTAATAATTTGATTGTCAAAAAAACAAAATGGTTGTTTTAAAATGTATAAATACTCGTATCTTTTTAAAATCCCTCTTCTGATGATAGTAATAAAACCATGTTGCAGTTAGGTTAAGGATAATCTCAAACACCATTGATTTCGATTTGCCGAGTCCTCAAACTAAACATGCCTATTTAAATTAGGAACAGGACCAATTAATTACTGTCTGGCTTTTAAAAGTTTAAGATGTTATCTGATGGTAGTCCTATTTAAATTGACAGGCCTGTTGGTCTAGTGGTTAGTGGATCTGACTACTAAGCCGGAGGTCGTGGGTTCGATGACAAATATTGTGTGATGAGCACGGTCATTTGTTCTGTGTCTGGATGTAATTTATCTATAATATGTATGTATTTAGAAATATATAAGTATGTTTATAAGTATGTTTATAAGCAGTCTGGTTACCATAGCACAGGCTCTGCCTAAATTGGATCAGTAGCCGTGTGTGAGTTAAAAAGAAAGAAGAAGAAGAAAGATATTATATAGAGATGACTCTATATCAATGACCAGCCGGTCCTAGTATTACCTTCGTTTATAATCCCTGCTCTGCTTTTAAGGGTTGTGGCGTGATGTTTTATATCATAAAATATATCCATTCTATCCATCTATATCCATTGCAAAAAGAATGATTGAAATTTGACTAATACGTTCTAACGCGTTCAAACAAACAAAAAAATAACTTCCGCTTTATTTTATTAGTGTAAAGCTATAGATAAGATAAATAAAATACCTTTAGACTAAACGAGATAATCTGGTTAGAGTTTCTAGAAATCGATTTTTAATATAATTGAAAAAACTAAAATATACGAATATTCGCACTAATATCAGCTGCAACTTTCCGCCATCGTTCCACACGGCAAAATTTTCATCCTCATTACCTGGATAGTTGGCGCTCCACTACTGTGCGCTTTTCGAGACACTTTTTGCCCCGCACAACCAATCCGTGGAAGGGGTTATCGCCTGCAGTATTTCCTTACCGATACGACCTTCAAACCTTCAAGAAAAGAGCGTACTCCTTCCTAAAAGGCCGGCAACGCGTTTGTCACTCCTGAGTTCGTCGAAACTTCTGCGTTCATGGGCGGCGATGGTCACATTCCATCAGGTGAACCGACTGCTCGTCTGCCCCCTCTAACATAAAAAGAAAAAATATATATTATCGTAATCAGTTTAACAAATAGGTGTTAATATACCTTCTGTTTAATGGTAGAAAACCAGAGGCCGTGGCCACAGGCTGACTCTTGACTCTACTGTATGTAATAATACCTATTAAATTATCACGTTCATTCATGTTTACATAATAGGGGGTTATAGACGACGGGCCTGTTGGTCTAGTGGTTAGTGACCCTGACTGCTAAACAGGAGGTCGTGGGTTCGATTCCCACCCAGGACAAATATTGTGTGATGAGCACGGTCCTTTATCCTGTGTCTGGGTGTAAGTTATCTATAATATAAATATGTTTATCAGCAGTTTGGTTACCACAGTACAGGCTCTGCCTAGTTTGGAATCAGACGGCCGTGTGTGAGATGTGTGATATATATTATTATTATAGAATCGAAAATATCAAAGTTCGTACAGGTTTTTGCAGAACACAAAGACTCATTGCCCGTGGGGAAAGGGTGTTATGTAATCGGAACGCATAATTTAAAAACCAGTAATTTGCATACGAAGACGCGAGCATTTATTAGTTGTATCAGGCGTCTGATATCTTTCTATATATATGTGTATAAGTATTTAAACATACTTGATGAGCCTGAGAGAGAGGGAGATAACTTGGAGAGGCCTATGTCCAGCAGTGGACTAGTATAGGCTGTTGATGTGATGTGATGATGATGAGCCTGTTGCTCTAGTGGTTAGCGATGCTAACTGCTAAATCAGATGTCGTGGGTTCGAATTCCACCCGGGACAATAAATGCTGTGTGATAATATACATTAGAAATAATATATTGTTTGGACCACGATCATTTGTTTTGTGTCTGAGTGTATTTGACCAATAATATAGAAGTAGGTATGTATATAATCGTAATGTAGTATACGTGTGTAAATGAAATATATTGCAGTATATTGCAGTATATTGCCTCGGTGGCGCAGTGGTAGCTTATGCGACTGCTGAGCCGAGGTCTCGGGTTCGATTCCCGGGTCGGACCAAATGTTTGTATGTTCTGCAAATATTTGATTTGAAGTTTTGGTTTTTTCTATGTAAAATATGTATGTATTTATACAAAAAAGTATTTTTATACTTTTTTAAGTATTTTATGTGTATCAGTCAATCTAGCTTTCATAGTACAAGCTCTGCTTAGTTTGAAACTCCGTCAGATCCTAGTCAGATGTCCGAAATATTATTATACTATATTATTCTTAATCGAGAAGTCTTCATTTTATTTATTGAACATAACAACAACCTAAGTCAAAAAATTCTAATGTACTGTAATAAAAACATTGTTTTGTGATGTAAGCTGTGTACTTGTTTATACCTTAGGTTAAAATATCACTCATTGTTTTATTCAGGCCTTGACGGATGAGCAAAAAGAGAAGCTGAAGAAACACCGCTCAGAATGTTTGGGAGAGACAAAAGTGGAAGAGCAGTTGGTCAACAAGCTCAAGAGTGGTGATTACAAGGTGAGAAGAAGAAGAAAGAAATTTATCACTTTAGAGTCCCTTAATTTGAATCCCATGGGATGAGTAGCGGTGGTGACACTCTGTTTTCTTAATCCGTCACCAGTGCGTGTTGTAAGAGGCGACTAAAGGAGCAAACAACGCAAGACAACAGCACTGCAGAGAGAAGGAAAACTTGACACAAACCCTACACCAACCCGTCTGGCGAGCGTAGTATAGTAGGCCAAAACCTCCTTTCTAAGGAGAGGCCTATGTCCAGCAGTAGACTATTAAAGGCTGTTGATGATGATGATGAAATTAAACCGGCGTTAAGCAGTTTTTTCGTTGCTTTTTACCATGTGAGTGAGGTCGCCGGAGCCCAAACCACTCCTCCTGCTGATGTTAGGGCAAGGTCTTGTGACTCTTAAGTGGACAGTGGTAGTTACTTACTATTAGGCATCCAACTGCTCATGTGTACTTCTATGCCATGAAAAAAACTATATCTTGCTTTTCCACCACTGATTTGAGAAACGCCTTGACCCCACATGAGGCACAGACAGCATTGGTTCTAGACACAATAAAAAAAACTATGGCTCTCCGGGAATGCTGACAGAAGTGAAAACTTGAATTATTATATTTTTAGTCTATTCGAAAAGTTCCGACTTGAATATATATCTATGTTTTACGTATATACACAATATGTTTTTATATCATCGGAAAATAACAAGAACCGCAAATTTATAAATTTCCTAGGCAATTTATAAACCTTCGTAGGATTCTAAACAAGATACAAATAGTATTATTTTACGCCCACATTTTCGCAAATTGATAAACTTATCGAACTCGAATACGGTGCTTTCTTCAGTTCCAGAGCCGCCTCCTTGTTGAGCTGGTCGGCTTGCTAATTTCACCCAACCCGGATAAGTTAAGTTAGGTTTTCTTCTCTCGTTTAGAATCCTACAACGGTTTATAAATTTCCTAGGAAATTCATAAATTTGCGGTTCTTGTTATTTTCCGGTGACATTCATATTATATATAGTTATATTATCAATGTACGTTCGCAATATTTATCGCGAGTTCAATGGTTCTTTCCATCTCAAAAAATATTGTTGTTCAAAAATGGCCAACGCGCCTACAGAAGTTTTCACTTCAAAACATACATGAATACTTTATGTCTTCTAAATAAAAATACGTATTTTATAAACCTAAACACGTCCAGACTTATATACAAGTAAACTAGTATCATAACGTCTGATATTGTTGTCGACTGATTTACCGCAGCGGCGCACTTGGATAGTCAAGATTTTATTCATTATGTTTTCAGGCCGATAACGAGCAACTGAAGAAATATGCCCTCTGCATGATGATCAAGTCTGAGCTGATGACAAAGGACGGCAAATTTAAGAAGGATGTCGCTTTGGCTAAGGTCCCTAACCCAGGTTAGTAATAGCAATTGGTGTTTAAATTTTACTTACATAATAGATTATACATAACGTATTATTTATACATCAAGAAATAGAGTTTAGTATTTTTGGACTCAGATCGTCTGAGAATCTAGTCTATGTAGCCTCAAGAGTATTGTTCATGTATTGTCAAAACATGTCCCCGAAGTCCCTCTCCCCAATACTCTTTATCCACAGTGGAGATACCAGTACTGCATCCATTACCTAAACAAAAATCTTCTGTTAAAGAAATTTAATAGCCTTGTTATTGGTTCTAATTTAGAATTCTACTTTCGAGAATACTAAAACAATCTTGTTTATCAAAAAACACGAAAATAACATTTCATTTTCATTTCAGCGGACAAACCAGCAGTTGAAAAGCTGATCGACACTTGCTTAGCCAACAAGGGTAACACCCCCCACCAGACAGCATGGAACTACGTCAAGTGCTACCATGAGAAGGACCCTAAACATGCCATCTTCCTATAAACATGATCAACTTACAACGTACCTTTCTACTGGTATCGATTCCTTTTTTTGTATAAAATTCTTCTAAATATTCAAATTCCAAACACTCAAGACCCTAGAACTGAGAATATATTCTTAATTCTGCGCTCGAGACGTCCGTACTCTATCGTTCCATCTGAACAAGTGACTACAGCTGCTTTCGTTAGCCACAAAAATAACGTAGTTTCCACTCAACTACCCTCTATTTTACAAAAGTGTTACTGTTGAGATATATTTTGAAATACAGGGATTTTAAAATTTAATACTTATTTTTTAATGTTACTGCCCAAACGAATTTAATTGTTATCTCAGCAATAAATGAAAACTGAATATGTACTTTTTTGTTTTATTATACTTTTAACAATTATACTTTTTACCGCGATAGACGATATACACGCGGGCATAAGCTAGATTATCTATAATAAGTACATATGAATTTGGACATTATAATATTATATACGTATGTTTATCAGCAGTCTTGTTATTAGAGTGGCTTTGCCTAGTCTGGGATCATACTGCCGTGTGTGAGATGTATAAAGTTATTATTATTACTCTTACTTTATAGCTGACTGCTTAGAGGACCTGGAGTCACCCCCAGATCTGATGAGCAGCGATTATTCATATTTCCTGTGACTGTATAATGTGCAGCCCTAATTTGTTACTTTGGTACTGCAGTGGCCTACAAGAACATACAGTATGCATTGCAGAATTTTCCTGTCAACAAAAACAACAAACAACATCAATCAACGACATAATTTATATGTTTTATGAAAACTTAATAACAATAAAGGCTTAGGACATCTTATCCAAATCCGGTCTGATCCAAATTAAGCAGTAACTCATAATTTGGAGTACCTCATGTAAGCTGTAATGCTCCAGAAAGACACCGCTGAACGGGATCGGGAGAGGGCCGATCCCAAACGTAGAGGACGTCGGCGACGATACCAGCCTTCAACGGGGCCGTGGGCCACCAGAGAATGGGGACCTCTGGTAGCAGATTGATTGCTGCGGTAGGGGATAGAATAGCAGCCTGATTGCATTAAAACGCAATCGGGCCCCACGCTGCGATTGAGGGGAGTGTTTTCTCCTGGGATAGTCATCTCTGATAGGGCCTCATTAGGCCTAGGCTAGGCTAAATAAGATGGTCCAGGTCCTCCCAGTGTAGGACACCTGAGGCCAGCCGTCAGGGTGGTTTTAGGATGAACCGCATACCAAACGTTAAAACGATAGACGCTGTACAATTTTGTATGCTTTTGCCAAATCATTTATGTTGAATGTTATTTGAACATGTAGAAACAATAACAACATTAAATTGATAATAGAGAACAATTCAGGCTGTACTTTAAGATGTTACATTTAATGATTCAATTGAAATAATTTACTTTATACCTAGGAATCTACCCCATTGATGTTACAGTCTTTCCCGTACTACTCAATTAAATAACATGTTGTTTTGTATATACTTCTAAATCTTGACTATTTGCACACAATTTTTTTTTGAAGGTTAGGCCCATTGAAAAAAATTTTACTCCTCTTCAAAAAATATTCTACCTCTAAGGGTACCAAATGTCTACTTATTACAATAAGTCGTTGTATTTTTAAAGTGAATACATACAAAATGTAACAATTGTGTTACAATGATGTCAATCAATGGGTAAGTTTATATTCCCACTGTATCTATTGCAAATGTAAGAAGTTATTATAATTTAAGTGAATCATGAGAAGTAATAGCGAAAACTATGAAGATACAGGTTGATCATTTTTATATCAAAAGACAAAACTCTGATATTCGAGAATATTCTTGTCAGAGACAACTATTTATACTCGATATATCGATTTGAAAACTGTACTTCAGCAAAACACTTCGATCAAAGATTCCCATCTTCCCACTCAGGTACATTCTTCCTCGGCGTGATCCGTATGTCGTAGCTTTTAATGGACATAGGCCTCTCCTTAGAAATGAGGTTTTGGCCTACTATATCCTGGCCAGACGGGTTGATATAGGGTTCGTTTCAAGTTTTCTTACTCTTTGCAGTGCTGTTGACCTGCCTACTTTGCTCCCATAGTCGGCTCTTACTACTCCCACTGGATGAATACGGGCGGTGATACTCCGTATTCTTAATCCGTCGCCACATGGATTTTTCGATAGCGTTATTTAAATAACTATGTTATTATCTACAGAAAACTGTATTAAATAATAATAAATGACAAGTCACCATGTTCAAAATGGTGTTTTCTTTGTTATTTCTCATTAACTCTAGTATACACTATATATTTGGTTTTCTGAAATTGTAAGACTTGAATTTTAAATCTTCATATTTAAAGTTGGTGTAGACATTTTTGTAACTGTATGAAAAACTACATTTAGTATAAAACTATATAGAACCAGTCGGAAAAAACTTCCAAAAATCGCTACTGTATTTTGACATGTCGATTTGTATGTAGGGACTGTCTTGATGTCAGATCTCTGGACAAAGGAAATTTTTTTCTTAGCAATTTCTTCACTTTCTTCACAAATTAAAAACGGCGACGATACTAAACTAAATTCAAAAGAAGCCCTGGCAAAACTCAGAAGAAGCCCTGGCAATGCAGGATACAGGAGTATGTTCTGGTATTATATATTCTGTTTTAAAACAAAAAAACCTAATATTTTAGTAATTAAATCTATTCTCTTTCTTTCTGTCTCTCCTAAAAACCACTCTGATGGCGGCTTTCAAGGTCCTCTCCGAATCGGAGCTCTGTAAATTATTTAATAGTTGATCTATTGCTACTAAATTGTAACATCCTGTATATTTAACATAGAAAGATACTGATACAAAATATTATATCAATTCCATTGTAATGGTTTCACGAGGTATAAAAGGCGTTGAACCCATTCAGTCCTACGATAATCAAATCATAATAGCTATCAAAATGGAAGTAACTGGTGGTGCGCTAATGTCTTTATTTATATCCTGTGTCGTGTTAATACAGGTAATCAAATTTGTGTCTTAATTTAATAATCTTAAAATTATTTATAAGATGTAAAATATTATTGCAATTCTAAAAATATTCAACACGAAAAATACAATATTTAAATTCCAATAATACTTTCTCTTGCTTACGGTCAACTGTAAGTGTAAACATCACATATACTGTAAAATTAAAATACATAAGCATAGACAAAGATAACCTGAAAGTATGGTCCGTACGAATTGGAATGTGTTAAGAAATTTGGAATATGTTATTGATCGACAACCTTCACGTAAAATACGCACTGGAGTACTCTGCAGTTTCAAATTTGTAGGTCGTAGATTTTGACTTTTGTTTACAATTTTAGTGTCTGTATTATTATCTACAAATGTTACTGTAATGTTGTTGTCTTCATGTCCTTTATATTTACTTACTGTTATTTCGCAGTCCACAATAAGTTTCACATGTCTACAGTCTTTACTTCCTAAATTGTTTTAATGTTTCATGTTCCAAAAGCAGTCGATTTTTCATTTGTAAATACTTGCATGCTTTATATGAGTCGTTGCTCTTGTGTAGTTTTTATATTATGTCTTGTTTATGTTTCTTTTTCTTTATTAAGGTTATCTCTTCCTTTAAATAATTGTTCGTTTTATTGACTTACTTATCAATTCCTTCAGTTGATATTCTTGAGATAAGTTCAGCATGTATTATACTAATTTTTTTTCTTTTGCATTTTCAATGTTTTACAATTATAGTTTGTCATTAGATCACGTTTGAAATGATCATCTAGACGGAAAGCGAGAAAATTTAGAAAACTATCCGTTTCGGTATTCCACTTTCTTAACAGTAATCTAATCCAATCGTCTCTCGGGACTTTTGCATCAAAAATGTCAAAATTTTATAGGTTTACTAAAATCTTGCTTGTCTGACTTTCTTGACTCCTTTAAAAACTTATGAAAATTTTAAGCTGATTGTTCAACTTTATTGTATATGTCATGCAATACAGCTTTTTCTTGTATTGGGTGATTTTCTTTTATAGAAAAGGACCTTTTTTTATGTTGGTACTTTTTGTTGATATTTTCTTTAATTAGTTCTAAGAGTAAGGATTCTAAAGTTCTGTTTATCATGCATTGTTAGCCATCTTCACCGATCTATTTTTAGACTATATTTAGCAGTTCTATTTCTACAACCATTTCATGTGCGTCTTCAACATCACTTATTTTCATATCTTCAATATTAAATTGCATGTCAAAAATTAACAGAGACTTCCATTCTTATTGGTGTTATTCATCGACCTTACTATTTTCAGTTTCAGTCATTCACTTCGACTTCACAAAAAGAAGAAAGTTTTCAATCAGTATTATGAACATTTGTTTCGTCTTCATTGCACTACGATATACTTTGACATTTAGATGTTTCAAACAATTCTTCTATAACTTGTCAACTAATTTTTATTTCGTCCGATTTGTCACCGTTTATCACTGCTCTTTCATCGTCTTCTGCATAATCTTAACTTATACGTTCTTTTTCAAAGTCTTTAGTATTACTTTCGTGGTCAACCTTTCTTACAAAAATGGATTGTGCAAATTTTGTTGATCCCTTTTCGTTGTTCTTCGCCTTATAAAGTATGCACCGCATTGTTGAAGCAATGAAATTGCCATCAATATCCTTGCAGAGTTGTTGCTGTGAGCGGCGTTTGGGAGTCAGATTTTCTTGGACTTTACGGAATGGTGTTAGTGGTGACTATTTTTTATTATTATAACTACAGCGGTATCCTACACATTTAAGGACTCATGTTCAAAATAAAATATATAAATCGAATAATACATTTTAAATAATAAAATTCTAGGCACAACATCAACTAGAAGATGAAATTTATAAACTTAAAAGACATCAGTTGGAGTGTATAGAAGAAACCAGAGTAGATCCTGATATGGTGATGAGGGTCAAAAAAGGTAAATTTCAGGTAATGTCACACTAAGTTATTATTATATTTTACCTTTCGGACATTTTATACGTCTTTAAAATACAGTAATTTTTACTCGACTGCGGCGAAGATAAAAATAGAGGTTATGTGTTGGACATGGCCGTCACCAATTTTCGGGTTTCATAACTGCCTGAATCGGTTTACAAAACCTACATTTTTGTTGAAGTTATGTGTAGTATATAATAGCTTTAATACATTCTAGTTCTGTGATGTAGCGAATAAACAAGTAAATCAGAAACAGTGGAAGCCGATATTTTATACGGATTTATTGTATTTGATTAGTTTCGTGTGTTGATTTCATGAAATCGTACTGGTCGTAACAATATTAAATAGAATGGTATAAAACAACATCTGACCCTGAACTGAGGGGCCTGTTGAGTGATCCTTATTGCTGAGACAGAGGTTTCATTCCCATCTAGGGTAGACATTGTGTGATGAGCACGATCATTTGTTCTGTGTGTGGGTTCAATTTATATATAATATGTATATACAAGTATGTATTTATAAATGCATATTATATAAGTACAGGCTCACCCTCGTTTGGGATGTGTCAAGTCTAGTGAATTTAAATTCACGACTACTTAGACTCAGACAGGCTCTGACTAGTTTGGGATCAGTCAGAGCCTGTCTGTCGACGACCGGATAGCGTAGTGGTTTGTGTAACGGACTGCTATTCCAAAGGTCGTGGGTTCGATTCCCACTCAAGTCAAACATTTAATGTTTGATTTGGTCTGGGTGTTTCTATGTATAATAAATATGTATTTACAAAAAAAGTAAATAGGTATTTTTATCCGCTGTGTAATACCCATAGTACAAGCTCTGCTTAGTTTGGGATTAGATGGCGTTGTGCGAATGTGGTAGAATATTAAAAAAAAAATAGCCGTGTTGAAATGCTTGAAATTTGTATTATTATTTAGTACCAAATTTTATTCAAAAGTTTGGTGTTTTTACCTTCAATAGAACAAGCCTGATGTGCTCTTGAAGATGTGGACGTTGTGCACACTCATGAAGTCAGGATTGATGACCCCCCAAGGTGTCTACAAGTTTGACAACGCCTTATCAAGAGTACCTAAGCAGGGTAAATATATTTTATATACTGACAAGTATCCCTCAAGTATCAAGTGACAAGTATCCTTCCGAATACGAGTTCGCTGCTTGAAGCCTGCGAATGGGAGAAAGGCTTTCGTGTTTCTGGTAGGAGCTAGGCTGGTTGACCTAGCACGCATGATGGATCATTTATTTATCTAAATGCAAAAATCGGGCTCCAAACAAATACTCAGTTTTATTTATTTATTAACGAATTATATTTGTATTTTCCGTTAAGAATTGATTAACACCATAGGTATATTGAATTTCATAGATATTTATTTAAAAACGATGTGTTATACGCGCTCTTCCGGTTTTTACCTATAGGGTATAATCAATTCACAAAAATAGATTCTCACTCAGTAGAACGTGTAGAAAATGCACATGTACATTAAAATTAATGGTATTAAATTAAATTAAGATAATATATTTTATGAACGTAAACAACGAACAACGTGATAACACAATAATTGAAAAGTTATCAAAATTAAGTAAAGTAGGTACATTTTCCTACTTTGTCAGTAAGCTAAAGGAATGTTTGATTTCAGTTTAGAGTAGAAAATCAAAAACATACAAAATTAACAATAAAATTGTAGCTTTATTCTCATTCCAGATGCAGAACTAGTGGGAAAACAAATAGACAAGTGCCTAAGTAAAAAAGCTATACCACCAGTCGATATTGCCTACAATTTTGTTAAATGTTACAATAAGATCAAAACAAATTATACATTAGTTTCAATTATTTAATAAAGTAGATTTATAATTGCGCCATCTATGATTGAAAGGTTGAAATGAATTTGCATTTGTGAATGTCTTAGAGCGCCATCTAAAGGGACACTGGTGTTTCATTTCAGGAACTAGTTGCTCAAAATTTAAAACCGGCAACAATAGATGTCGCTAACATCAATTTAGATATAAAGTCGTCTTAAGTAATATTTACAATAAAAACCTTAATTGCTACAATGAGTTTTATTTCCATTATTATAACTTAACCAAGTTGCAATATTATTATATTTTAGAACCTTTTTTAGTAAATAGGATGTACCTAAACCTCTTAGTATTTGATTAACTCAATTAACTGTGTCTTACTGCTATATTTTTGAGTTTGAGATACTTAATTACCGACACGCATCATTTGCTGATATTTTTCTATTCTTTAAGCCCTTGAATAACGACTGTGTTTAAACAGTCGTTATTCAAGGGCTGTTTTTTACATAATTACTTTTGGAGAAGGCTTAGACACTAATAATTGTGGCATAATTAGAACAAATAAAATGTGTTTATGTTGCTAACAAGCCTTCATAGTTCGGTAAAAATATATCATTACGGAGGAAGAAATAATTGATTATCTTGATGAATAGTAATGTGAATGTACTTCATAAAAATTACGAATATGTCTATTATTATATCTATTATTATCTCTTAATGTTTCGACTTCTGTCATCACATCAACAGGCTTTAATAGTCCACTGCTGGACATACCTAGGCCAAAACCTCGTTCCTAAGGAGAGCCTTATTAACGAGGTTTTGGCCCACTATACCACGCTGGTATACCAGACAGGTTGGTATTGGGTTGGTTTGGTCAGCGATTTACGTGAGTGCGCGATATTGCAAACCGCTCTTAGGATTATTTCGTCTCGTCGACGAATAAACTACATAATAAAAAAAAAAGTTTTCTTTACTTTTTCAACATGCAAAATTCAACTATTTATTGCCTGCTACTAAGTAGCAGCGCTCGGCAAAGACACAGGTCATTTCACCTTGTGATGAACTTTCTCAATCCGAAAGCAGTAAACCTTGAAAAACATCCCAGGGTAATGGTAACTTTTATCCGAGAAAACGGGAGTTTTTTCCAATGAACTTTCTGCCAGGATATGATTTTACTCCATAGTCAATTCCCGTATCATAGGGTATAGTGCGAAAAGCATTCCACGCTTTTAAAAAAATATGCAATCCTATATGAATTTCTAGAGCCAATGGGAATAAACTTCTCTTGGGTAGGCACAGCTTCATCTTCGTTTCATAAACAGAAGCGGAAGACAAATGGTTATTTCATTAATCAATAAAGAAAAAATGATATCCTGTGTTTTTGTTGTAGGAAAAAAATAAAACTAATGCTAAACCCAAAAAACTTGTTTAAGATTTCTATTGCATAGGGAGTGAAGAAGCAGATCTCACCTGATAGTGACTAAAAATAACTTAAAAGACACAAGTGCGTTGTCGGCCTTTGAGAGTGATTACCCCCCTTGACCTCAACCCCCTCTCCCCCCCCGAGATCAGGAGGACGGAGGCAGTTGGGTCTCCAATAATCTCACTCATTCCGTGAAATTCAACGAAATAATTGCATAATACCGACTTTCTGAGGCCATGCCATTTCTGCAGTCCAACCACCACATACATGCCGAAGTATGGCTCTCCTGACCTGCTGCAATTATTTTTTTATTTAAAAAAAAGACAACTCCCGCACTAGGTATAAATCCTGTGTCGCGGGGGACTTTACAAACATACATGAAACGGACACAAAGTTGGGTGTACTTTGTGTCCGTTTCATGTACGTTTCACGTACACAAACTACACCCAGATTCGGAACAACAATTTGTGGATCACACAAAATGTCGTCCCATGTGGGGTTTGAACCGACAACACTCGGCGCAGTATTAAGCGGCGTACGCTTAAACCAATACGCCATCCGTGCAGTGCAACACGGTAGATTCCTAAGTTTAAAATAAATTATTTCCCCTTCATCATTAAATGTAACATCTTAATCTACAGCCTGTAATTGTCCTACATTATCAATTTAATAATAATAATTTTAGTCCTTCTTGGCTCGTATCACTATACGAGCCAAGAAGGACTGTTCCTATCTTTGGAGTCCTAACCACCCGTGTCTATCTCCCTGTACGTGATGTCGGTGGTCTACTATTTTTATATTTTTAAATGTATTTTTTTTCTTTTGTAATATATTTAAAAATGTAACTAATATGTATATATAATTTAATAAAGAGAATAATAATATGTTTCGGATCTCTGGCACACAACGCCATATAGTTTCAAACTAAGCAGAGCTTGTACTATGAAAGCTAGATTGACTGATAGAATACTTAATTTATTTTTTTGTAAATACATACATATTATACATAGAAAACACGAAAACTCCGAAATAAGTATTACCAGATCATACAAACATCTGGTCCGACCCGGGAATCGAACACGAGACCTTAGCAAAGCAGTCACATACGCCACCACTGCACCACCGAGGCAGTTAAAAGATGATATGATGATTATTAATAATTTTATTGTTTTAATACTTTTTTGTTGTTGTTTTGATACTGATTTGATATCTTCAAATCAATTTTTTTTTATGGTATAAGGGGGCAAAAGAGCAGACGGGTCACCTGATGGTAAGCAACTACCGCCGCCCATGAACACCTGCAACTCAAAAGTCGCAGGTGCGTTGCTGCCCTTGGAGTCCCGCTCGAAACTAACGGGATTGGATTTGGGCTCCGGTAACCTCACTCCCTGGTATCACTCCGGTCGACCCGGCCCATTCGTGCAGAAGCATGGCTCTCCCATGCTCAGTCAGTCAGTATTAAATAGAAACGATGCGATAATAACTAGGTAAGCCATAGTACCTCAAACAAAAATGTACCGCGTCTATCTTTTTGACGTTTAATAAAAAAATACTGTTTTGACTTCACACTCATCTTACCTATTGCTACCTACATTATCAAAATAACCATGTTCTCCTTGTCTTGTACCTTAAAAGGTACGTAACCTTTAAAGAATCTAATACTTTAAATAAACTCAATAGTATAATTCGGACTTAGTATAATTAAATAATTGATTAAATATATGTTCACATAATTGCATTGACGCTTAAATTATGGTAGTGTTTTGATCCTAAGACATTGAAAGGTTAAATTTAAAAAAAACTTACTGTCGGGTCTTTATACTGTTACAGAATAATTATATATATCAACGGCAGACAAAGAAAAAAAGTTTAAACAAAGATTAATATTATAAACTACAATATGGTAGGTAGGAGGCACCGTGAGAAGGCCATGGTATAGCATATGTATATAGGTTAGCTGGCCTATCCTTATGGTCCTATCCTAGTATGGTCCTTATGGAAACCCCCTCGAGCCGTCACCCCACCGGAGTTTACGACGGGGCGGTGTGTGGGAATCGAACTGACTAAAACCACACGGTGTGCCACTTCGCGCCTGAGATAGGAGGGGTCCGGGAACAGCTGATGTTAAGACATCCGGACCCCTCCCAGCGCCTGCCCGCAACAGGTAAACCGCGGACATCGCTGGCCTTACAGAAAACCTATGCTAACCAATTCTTTCATTCATCATCATCAACAGCCTTTAGTAGTCTACGGTTGGCCATAGGCCTCTCTTTAGAAAGAAGGTTTTGACCTACTGTACCACGCCAATTTCAAGTAGTAAGTAAGTATAATTGTATAACAAGTCTCTGCCTACGTCTTTCGAAAGTGAAAGTCAAACTATTTAAGATGTAAGTCGTGAAAAGCTATGAGAGAGCTGCTTAACACCAAAATTACGCTAACACGTATTGCCAGGCGGTTTCTGTCTCTGGAGTCCTAACCACCGGTATCTTGGTCCTTTTAGTCGATACCGAGACACTATTTTTTATAGTTTTAAATGTATTTTGTTTATTTTGTATGAATCATAAATACCTATGTTTAAAAATGTAATTTAAATGTAAATTTAGTGAAATAAAACGAATATTAATAATATTTCAGATATCTGATTACACAACGTCATCTAGGTTCAAACTAAGCAGAGCTTGTACTATGAAAGCTAGATTTACGGATACAATACTTAAATACTTTTTTTAAATACATAAAATTGTACATAGAAAACACCCAAACTCTAAAACAAATACTTGCAGATCATACAATCATTTGGTCCGACCCGGGAATCGAACCCGAAACTTCAGCACAGTCGTATACGCTACCACTGTATGATTAGGTATAATTTTGTATGTACCTAACAGTAGTTACATAGACACCATGGTTTATACATTTTTAACCAGGCCGCGACAATTATGTTTAATCTAAACTACCATCAGCTTTATGTGGTGGTCTGTGGAATGGTGTTGGTGTAGTATGCGCCATATTGTCGGTGTACAACTATGATGGATATTAAATCATTATATATTTATATGTTACTGTAGATGCAGAAATCGGGCAAAATGTAATTTCCCTATACGAGTCAGAATGCCATCACAATTTAAATAGTTGACAGACAACAAAAAGTACATATCTTTGGTATCTATAAAGAAATTTTTTTGGTACACTTTGTTAAGGGTAACTACAAAAAAGGCGATTTTTTTTTACTGTAATACATAAAATGGTCACTTATACATTACATGTACAAAATAAAAACAGAGAAACTTGTTCATGTAGGTAGGTATATAGTTCAATTTTAAATTCATTAGTAATATTGATTTAATTTTGATGTCTATGCCATTTAATCGCCTGTCCCTATTAAGAAGGTCGGATATGCAATTTTCTTGATTATGCTTTTATTTTACTATTGACCTAAAAAAGCAATATTTTTCAGCAGCTTTAACAAAAAGTCAATTTTTCCTCATAGTTTTTAAAATAGCTATGTTAAAAAGTAAATTTATGTATTTATATATATACAAAATTAAGCAATTTTAAACTTTGACGCGTCCTCCTGTAAAATTGCTGATTTGCAGATCCTACATTCTTAATAGGG